ATATATGGAAAATCTAATGTTATCATATATTGTGATCATATCTATATGGTTGAAAATTTGAAATTCAAAACGTCAATGTAACATGTAACGTCCCAAATCCAACGTAACATTCCCAAATCCAATGTAGCATTCCCATATGCTTCTGAAATTCAAAATAACTTAATTAATGAAAATATCATATATGAAAAATCCAATGTTACCATAGATTGTGATCATATAATAATGTCATTTATAATAATCAAACTTACACATGAAATAACTTGCCCATTAATATATTTTTGAAAAAATTTAATATACACACCTTTGAAAGGGGTATACCATATGCAATTTTAGTTATACTATATATATTTTTTAATTATAACCAATTTTCTTATATAATTATAATATTATTTTAATTATAACTCTTGAAATCTTTAATTATGATTCTTGTGTTTAATTAATTTTTTTAAATTTATAATTATGATTCAAAACATATAAAATTATGTCGTTTTTATTTTTAATTATGATGGCACATAGTGATTTTTTTTTGGGTAAATTATTTATAAGTCCTATTTAAAAGACTTATACAAAATATGATCCTATGAAAAAACTTATAACCCAATAGGTCCTGTGGTTTTATTATAGACACATTGTTAGACTTATTTATTTTAATGATTTATTTAATTATTTTTTAATTTATTTGGAAGAGAAAAATAAAATCAAAATTTATTTTCATAATTTATTTGAAAGAGAAAAATAGAATCAACATTTGTTTTGATGATTTTATATTTTAATTTATTTGAAAGAAAAAAATAGAATCAAAATTTGTTTTGTCCCATTATTTCTGACATAAAACTTTTATCCTAAATATTGTTAGAATGTATTTAATATTTGATTAAATCAGAGGTTCAAACAGCCCAGCACAGCAGCAGGCCAAAAGGTTCAAGTGGAAGATATTCAAATTAATAATGGTGGAGTGAAAGATATTCAAATTAGTAATGATGGAGTGGAAGATATTTAAATGAATACAACGGCTATAAACGACTATAAATTCAAATGAATACAACGGCTATAAACGGTTATAAATTCAAATAAATATAACGGCTATAAACGGCTATAAGTTTCATTATATATACCAAAATCTCTAATGTAAACAAGTTACAAAAAAATCAAAAAATATTCTTTGATCTATAATCACTCACATCTATTTTCTGAAAAATTCTCTGAGAAGTGTTCTTTAATTTTTTACATCCTCTTTCAGAAATTATACACTAAGACGTATAGCTTTAAGCCCATTTTTCCTGTATGAGGTTTACAGAAAAACCAGAGTTTCATTTTAATATCTATCTTTAAGAGACAATTCTTGTAGCTTTCTGTGAAAGCAAAAACACATTCTTTTCAACCTTGAAAGAGTGTAGTAAACTCAGTGTTCTTGACTTAGAAAGTTTGCGTAAAATCTGTGGAGTATTGCTCCATCTGTGAAAAGGTTGCTAGAACCCTGTGAAACTATAATATAGTGGAAAATCTCAAGTGAAACTTGAGAAGTGGATGTAGGCTGAGTTGAAACCGAACCATTATAAATTTGTTTGCCTCTCTCTCCCTTATCTCTTTATTTTATTTAAATTGCCATAACTATATTTCACATTTTCACTATACTAAAATCATTAACTGACATAGTTGTTAGAACAATTGTTTTAATTATTTTTATTTAATTAACTATATTTATCTATTGTGCTAGTCATAATTTTTATTAGAATATTATTATTTTTATTTGTAAAAACTTAATTCACCCCCCTCTTATGTTGTCTTTTGAGTAACACACATCTACCCCCAATCTTAATTAATTGATAACTTGATTAATAATAATACCATATTTGAAAATTTCAATGTTACCATATATTGTGATCATATCTACATGGTTAAAAATTTGAAATTCAAAACAACCTAATTAATAGCAGTGTCATAAATGAGAAATTCAATGTTATCATAAATTGTAATAATATCTATATGGTTAGAAATTTGAAATTCAAAATAACCTAATTAATGACAATAGGAAATGCAATATTACTATAAATTGTGATCATATCTATATAGTGTAATATATGAGAAATCCAATGTTATCATAGATTGTAATCAAATTTATATGGTTAGAAATTTGAAATTCAAAATAACCTAATTAATGGCAATACTATATATAGACTAATTAATGGCAATACTATATATGGGGAATCCAATATTAACATGTAACATCTTAAACCCAATGTAACATTCCCAAATCCAACGTAATATTCCCATATGCTTTTGAAATTCAAAATAACTTATTAATTAATGGAAATATCATATATGAAAAATTCAACGTTACCATAAATTGTGATCATATCTATATGGTTGGAAATTTGAAATTCAAAATGTAAATGTAACATGTAACATTCCAAACTCAATGTGACATTCCCAAATCCAACGTGACATTAGAAACAAATTAAGGGTATAATAGTACACTAATATCATTCATTTTCAACTCATAGAACCTTATGGAATACATTCCTATTTAAATAAGACTCCAAACTCTAAAAGGAGATTCATAGAATTTCATATTAAATAAGTCTTTCAAACAGAATATATAAATAACTTTCTTGTGTTTTTTTTTGTTGACAAATTACCAACATCCCCTCAAGGTTTGACTAAAATACTGATTCCCTTTTAGGTTTGAAAAATTACATCCCATCCCCTAAAGTTTATATTTGTATAACAAATTACCTTTTGAGATTTACATTTGTATAACAAATTATCCCTAATTTATTATACAAATACAAACTTTAAGAGATAATTTATAATTTTCCAAACTTAAAAACAATTTATATTTTAGCCAAATCTCAAGACAATCTATATTTTAGCCAAATCTCGAGGGTACTGATAATGAGTCCAGATCCTCGGCCGCCATTCTCTGCAACCCTTCCCTGCAACGCCCCAAAACGACATCGTTTTGGGGCAAATTTTTTTTTTTTTTTAAAAAACCAAAACAGAACCCAGAAAAGGGTGAAAAAAAGAGAAAGCAGCGGTGAGGGGGGGTGTTTTTGATCTCGCCACCAATGACAAGCCACCATCTCGATCTGAAGAAGAAGAAGAAAAAGATGAAGGAGGTGAGGTGGGTTGCGGCGGAAGATCGACCGTCAAGCATAAGATCAACCATAAAGAAGACAAACTATATATATATACATCAGACATCAAAGTCACCATAAAAAATAATAATTTCACTCAAATTGCTCTATTTATATATTTTTATGATTGTTATCCATATATATATATATATATTATCAGCAAAAAAAATTTTTAATAGTACTAGAGAGAGAGAAAGAAAGAGGGGGGTTGATCGAAGAAGGTGAGGTGAAGCGATGGAGGTGAGGTGAGGTGATCTTGTGGTTGATCGAAGAAGAAAATGAAGGAGGTGACGGTCGATCTTCTTTATGGTGGGAAGTTGGGTTGCGGCGGCGATGGCGGGGAGGTGGTGGTGCCGCGGTTGTGTGTGGGTTACCCATCGTTGCTATCTTTCTTCTTTCCCTTTGTTGGGTTCGGTTCTGTTCTGTTCTGGTTTTGTGTATTTTTATTTTTATTTTTTTTTGAAAATTTGCCCCAAAACGACGTTGTTTTGGGGCGCTGTAAGGAAGAGTTGCAGCTAATGGCGGTCGAGGATGCGGACTCACTGATAATTCGCCCCCCGAGTCCAGATCCTCTGCAAGTTTTTCCTGCAATCCCTTCCTGCAGTGTCCAAAACAACGTTGTTTTGAGACAAAACTTAAAAAAAAAAACAACATCAGGAGATAAAACACATCCAAAACCAAAGCCCCATTGTTGGCCACCTCCCCCACCAGCTCCGGCGACCCCCAATCCCTTCAACGACCCTCCCTCAATCGTTCTCCTCTTCCGGCAATCCTTCACAGCCACACCTCCCCTCCTTCCTTTTCCTCTTCCTTTCTTTCTTTCTTTTCCTTCTAGATCTAGACAAATATAGATAATATATATATATATATATATATCAAAACAAACAAATATACAAAGATTTGACCCAAAAAAAACTGAAATCACAGAAGTGGGTTTAGTTGAGTGTAGAAAATAGATGAGTTTGCTTTATATGGTGGCTACAATTAAAAAGTAATTTAATGTAAGTTTGCTTTGTGGGTTTAGAAGTTAGAGAGAGAAGTGGTATTGCTTTGTAGTTTTTAGGGAAGGATGGTGATTTGCATCATCATCAACTACAAAAATTATATCTAAAGATGTATGTGTGAAAATTATACACCATAGTCAGTCCAGATCCTCTGCAAAAATATATAATAATTAATTATACAAGTTATATTTTGTATAATTATACACCATAGTGAGTCCAGATCTGGAAATCAAGTTATTATATATTGTAGTGAAAATTATACACCATAGTGAGTCTAGATCTTTTGCAAAAACTTGTATAGTAATTTTATATATAATTATCGTAGTGAGTCTAGATCTTCTGCAAAAACTTGTATAGTAATTTTATATATAATTATCGTAGTGAGTCCAGATCCTCTGCAAATTAATAAGATGTATGAGTGGCATTGAAAGAACTGAGAGAAATCAGGAAGGAAGAAGACGAAAATCTGTGTGCAAACCAGCAGAGAGAAGACAATGGAGGGTTTATCTGCTGCTGCTGGTTATATATATGTTTTGTAAGTTGTGCCACAAAATGACGTCGTTTTGGACACTACAGGAAAAAATTGCAGAGGATCTGGACTCCCCTTCTTTTTTTTTTTTTTTTTTTTCCCCTTGGGCATCGAGTATAAAAAATTAGAAGAAAAATGTTTGGGAGCACTAATTAATGCTCCCACTAATTAGGTGGCAGTGGGTCCCGCCATTAATGATGTGATGTTTTGGTCTTAGAGTTGTTTTTTTTTTATTTTTTTAATGCATTAGTGCTATTAGTGGTGATGTTTTTCGTGGAATGAAACATTGTTGAAAACTAGAAATAACACACTAACAAAGAAGCAACCCATCACATTTCTCATCAGTCTCGCACAATACTACTCCAGAGAGAGAGAGAGAGTCAATGGCGATCCCAATACCTACTCGCCAGCTCTTCATCGACGGTGAATGGAGAGAGCCTGTGAAGAAGAAACGTATCCCCGTAATCAATCCCTCCACTGAGGAGATCATAGGTATATATTTCATCTGCTCATATATACATGTATGTATGTATATGTATATCGCGTATGTCTTTTGATTTGTGTCTCTTTTGTCCGATTTAGTCGAGGATCGGAGCATCCCTCTTAGACCATCTTTAACTGATTAAAAAAGTTACTTTTTACTCCTCCAACACCTCCAAACAGTTTATCAAATCCATCATCATCAGGATTTTAATTTTTTTCATCAGAGGACCAATGGACCAATATGCCTTTTATCAAATTTGTTTATTACTGTTGGATTTTCACCACCAGATGTCTTGTTCATTGCCGTTAATTTTCACCATCGGATATCCTGATGTTCCCCAGATGACCACCGCAGGACAAAAATTTATAAAAAATTACACTGGCCGGTTGACTGGCCAGTCGTCTGCCCTGTCCGCCGGTAATTTGATGAAGTCATTAAATCACTTGATGAAGTTTTACTCAAATTTTTACTCAAATTTGTCAAAAAAAATTTGATGCACAGTTGAAGATTCCCTCACTTCAGTTCAATTTTACTGATCTAATTTGCAATTTGTCTACACTTCTGTTTGGTTGGTGTTTGATGGGTTGTTTAATACACCAAAAATAAACTCTAAACTATACCAAATTTCTTAGAATAATTGTGAAATTAAACTAGTTTAAATGTTAAATTCTTAAATTAATTTTGATGGAAAAAGATGGTTGTTCATAACCTAATAATAATTAAATTAAACAAAGCGATTAAACTAGCGATTAAAGTTGAAATTGGAATTATTGATTGTGGAAAAACTTAGAGTACTGAATTCACCACTAGTTACATAAATAAGGTTTCAATTTGAGACTCAATTATGTTATGGTTCGAATAGAATAATACTTCGCAACTACAAGCTCGAAGCATTTATCAAGAAAATCATTACGTTCAATGTACGGACACAAATCATACTAAAATCGAATGAAATAAGAGAAATTCTCGAATAATTTGTTACTCAATAACAGATGAGAAGCAAATCACTGCAACAAAGTAAAATTGCTTGTTTTAGGGATAATTAGGTGGAGCTTTTTTCAATTCACCAATTCATTGTTTGTACTTTTCGGCATGTGTTGGCTATCAGATGGATCAATCACTTGAGTTTGATATGTGACATGTTATTGAATTGAAATGTGTTTCAGGGGATATTCCAGCTGCTACTGCGGAAGATGTGGATATTGCAGTGGATGCTGCTCGAAAAGCCCTTGCCCGGAATAGAGGGAGAGATTGGGCCTCGGCATCTGGGGCACATAGGGCCAAATATTTGCGTTCTATTGCTGGACAGGTACATAGTTCACTTCATTTGATTTTTCACACATTCATGTGTCAGTAACATAAGGGGTCTCGTTATTATTTTATAAAGCTTAGTGACGTTCAATCGTTAGAAACTTCAGGGGTGTACTTGTGATTTTCTAAAAAAGGCAAGCATCCTGTGATTTTGAAAAAATACAATGGGAAATTCTATAATACATTGTAGGTGTTTGGGAAGTGGGTTTTTTTGTAAGTTTTTTTAGTTGTAGGATATTATTGGAGAAATTTTTTTTTTTTGTTTGCAAAGATTGTTGGGTTTTTTTGTGGTTGAATGTGAGTTTTGTGAGAGAAAAAGTGAAATGATTATGAGGTTTGATGTGATATTTTGTTTGGATTTGTTTTTTTTGGTTTTGTAACTAATTTGTCTTTTAGTGAAAAAAAACAAAAAAAATCCTTCCCAAACACCGCCATTATAATACTTTTTAGGAGTGTGTATCATACGTCCCGTAAATGACAATTTGTGATTATGACTTATTGTGAGGTTGGTTATGATTGAAAATGTTTTTGGTTATTTCTTGTGTAGTGTTTGGTTATTGCTCATTATTATTATTTTTTAGTTATGACTGAAAAAAAAAATTAGTTATAACATTTGTGTTGCATATCGTACACATCCCACAAAGGGGTATGTTACACAGACTCTTCAAAATATATTAAATACCCATGTACTTAGACAAGGACAAAGGTATGAGATATGTGTCCAATACTTTTCAACGGATACTTGTTATATAATTGTATATAACACTATTATTATATGTAATCATAATTGTATAAATATAATTGTTATAAATATCTTTTTGACACTGTAAATTATATATAGCACTATTTTATCTCACATACTTGATTAAAAATATAAAAATATGATTTTTTTTACCAAGTCCATGTAGCCTTAAATTTATGGTTTCATGAGTCCGACCTTTAGATACATACTCGCATCCGACACCCATATCCGAGTCCATGTAACTTATGTGTATAGTAGCATGACCCAAATATAATAGGCCTAACGAGTTTGACATAATTACGCCAACTTTTATTTTAGCAAGGCTAAAATGACTTGAACTAATGTGGGTGTGTAGATATATGGATAAACACGTATAACAACGAAATTATTCAGTGTGTTCGGTTTCAATTTTCTGGATTCAATTTTTTTAAAATTTAGTTTTTTGTTTTTCGTGTTTTTTTTTTAGTGAATATTTTTAAAATTTTAAACAAATTTTTTTTTTTTTTAACTTTTTTAGATGCACCTTATTTAGATATATTTAAAAAGTAATATATTCGGGAAAAAATATTTTAAAAAATCAATAAACACAGAAAAGTACAAAAAACGTACTAAATTCTCTTCTTTTTTTTTTATTTTATTTTTGGTATTTAGTGAATTTTCTAAAATTTTTTTAATAAATATTATACTTTTTTAAGTGTATTAATGTTAGGTCTATTTAAAAATTTAAAAAATTGCTTAAAATATTAAAAAAATTCTATTAAAACAAAAAAACATGGAAAACAAAAAATTTTAATTTTTTGAAAAGTGAGTTATGAAAATCCAAACCAAACTTAATTACTCTTAGAAAAGCGCAGGTGTCTATTTGGTATTTCTAAATTAACCTATGATTTTCCGTGTAACCTATGATTTTACGTGTCTTACTTTGATAATTCTTTGGATAGGCTGTCTGGGTCCTTTTGAGTCATATTGTTTTTTTTTTTAAACTATAAAGATGGTAGTTAGAATTTTTGCTCTAGTATATGTATAGTTTTGGGGGTATGATCTGTGGTTCACCGATAAAGTGGAATTATATGCAATATGTGGTGCTATGGATTAGCAATATGAGAGTTCTTGATTATTTAATGCAGAAAGGAAGTTCATAATTCCATTTTCTTACCTTAGTTCGTGATTTTTTAGTGGAGAAAGGGAAGTTCTCTATGCCATTGCCTTACCCTAATTAGTTTAGATTTAAAGCAATGCATGTTGGTTCATTAGAGCCCCTTTGGCAATATCACAGTTTTTATATATTTTTTTATTTTTAATATCAAAGGGCTTTGGAGGTTATTGGATTCATGTTGCATGTCCTGAGTGCTTACTTTTTCTGTTTGCATGCAGATAACACTCAGAAAAGCTGAACTTGCAAAGCTAGAAGCAATTGATTGCGGAAAACCCCTAGACGAGGCTGCATGGGATATAGTATGCCCATAACACCTACAAATATTTTCTTACTCTACTATGATGTGTAAGTGACTTATATGCTTGTTCGTGCCATCCAGGATGATGTTGCTGCATGTTTTGAGTACTATGCAGACCTTGCTGAAGGCTTAGATGCAAAGCAAAAGGCTCCTGTTTCTCTTCCAATGGAGACATTCAAGTGTCATGTTTTAAAGGAACCAATTGGGGTCGTTGGGCTGATCACTCCATGGTATTTCTTGCTTCTTTTTGTTGATTATATGGGGTTTTTCTTTGTTGGGTTTGTTTACTTGGTGATTGCATAAATTCATTTGTAAACTGAGATTGTTTATAAGCATTGTTCTTTTTTAATTCTGTGATATTGCCATCTGTATTTGCTTAATAGATTGGTTACCCTGTAATCTTTTCATTTCTTATGAATGGTTTCCAACATTGTCTGTTTTGATGCTTAAGACCATGTAATGGCATGCTTCCTGCAGCTTATTGTGATTCTTATGAATGGTTTCCAACATTGTCTGTTTTGATGCTTAAGACTGCATGTAATGACATGCTTCCTGCAGCTTATTGTGATTCTTATATTAGTTGAAATAATGTATTAGTTTACATCCTTCTGTGGCTTGCTTTGGTTGGGCATTGACATAGCACCTTACTGATCTTGTTCTATATGATGGCCACATTAGGTTGTCTTTTTTGACATCCTTGAAGTTATAAATTGATACGGTGTTTGTTATTCCTGCATCTATGTGATTAATATTCATTAAACATGTAGAAAGCGAGTCAATGTCACATATGTTGGTTGTGTAATAACCTAATGCATCCAATCGAATTGACATGTGATGCTGTTGGTCCTTTATATAGTTGATTGCATAGGATTGTCCTGTCATTTCTAATGGATGCATACCTGAGTTGAGATCAATGGAGCACAGGCACTTTTTAAGAGAGGTTGTGTTCCTGTCAGAGACAACCCTCCTCTATGCATGGTGGACATGTCATAGACATGTCGTAAACATGTTCAACATTATTCGTAAAAAAAAGTGAGATTTGTATCTTACCAGGTTGAGTCTGTAGTTGTATTGTATTAGTAGAGAGAATATAAATTATTTGCTATATTTATTGGGTTTCCTCTTTGTTAGTATATATTAGTATATATATTAGCTGTCAAACCTTTAATAATATACCTTTAATGATGTTGTTTGGTTTGTGTTTCTATTTTCGGTTTGTAATTGTTCTCCCTCTCCTCTATAAAGGAGAGAGCTCAACACAATCAATAATACATCAATAGATACATTATTCTCTCTGTATTTCTCTCTTTTACATTGAATTTAACATGGTATCAGAGCTAGGTTAAGAAGCTAGTAATTCTGCTTCACTGGCGGGCGGCAGCCTCGCCTTGGCCGCCCGCCGGACCTCTACACATACCTTCACTCCGCTGCCACAAATTATTCTTCTTGATCTTGATCTTCTTGTTGTTGCTGCTAGTTCAAGCTCTCAGCCTTGAACCTCAAACACATGTATCCCAATATCTGCTCCTTCAGATGGTGTCTTTCCTGGGCTTGCATCTGCATCACAGCAGAATTTTAACCAGTCCTTGGCACAAGTCCCGTCAATTGGGCAGCAGCAAATATCACCGCTACAGAAACCACTTCAATCGCCACAAGACTTGCCATCTTCCCTGCAGCTACACTCTCAGACTCCATCGTCTTACTTGCAGACGCAGCCTTCACAGGCATCACTCCAACAACTTGGTCAGCTGCAAATGCCTCAGTCTGGTGGTCAAGACCCCCATTGTATTTGATATACTCATAGTCTTGGGATGGCAACCCACCATTGCAGCCAAAGTTATTAAAAGCTCCTGCACAATCCACAAGCTGCTGTTCTGAGAGAGAGATCGCCCTTCCAAATGCCTGGTTGTAAGCTGCCTCCAGAGCCCCTGTGGTGCTGAAAGTCCAGCATGATCCGCAATGGCCTTGATCTTTGACTGGGCTGACTATTCCTGTCACTCTCCAGTCTTTCGAATTGGGAAGAACTTCATCAGTGAGCTTGTGATTTCCCCTTGTGGTGGCAGAACAGTTTTGAGCAGCTCCCAACCTATGTTTGCGGAACTCTTCCCAGGTCCAATCGGAAAAGTGATTGACACCAAGAGTGTAGGAAAGTTTCTTTTGTTGTGCGATTTGAAGTCTCGTAGCTCATCAAAATCGAGAACCGTAGCTTCATCTGGGATGTCCATGGTCTCCGACGACAAAATCGTCTTCATCTTGAGAGAGAGAGTGCGAAGATCGCCCTCTCCATGATGATCCTCTTCTCCGCCGGCGCTCAGGCCGCCTGCGGAGCCACCTTCGGCATCATCCCCTTCATTTCTCGCCGATCTCTCGGAGTCATTTCTGGCATGGTCGGAGCCGGTAGGACTTTTGGGTCTGGTTTGACACAGTTGATCTTTTTTTTTCACAAGCTCCAAGTACTCCAGTCACATGGGTTTATCTTAGCTTGCTTAGATGCTATCTCACTGGAAAGTTTTCACTTTTTTTACTAAAGCCACCGCCTTACACACAACCAATTTTTTTTTCATTTTATCATCATCATCATGTACCCCACTCTCTCTCTCTCATTTTTTCCACTCACATGGGTTTATCTTAGCTTGCTCAGATGCTATCTCACTGGAAAGTTTTCACTTTTTTGACTAAAGCCACCGCCTTACACACAACCAATTTTTTTTTTCATTTTATCATCATCATCATGTACCCCACTCTCTCTCTCTCATTTTTTTTTTCACTTTCCAACCCACCAGCGCACATGCTTTCCTCCTTAATATATTATTATTATTAACACACAAAATATATATATATATATATATACCGAACCCCATTACCGATTTTCACAAAACAGTGGGACAAGAAACCACGTGAACCACTTTCCTTATTTCCCCCATCTTTCATTTTGATTTCAAATTTATTCTTATTATTTCTTTCTTTATTTTTCTTTCACATTATTTTTAATCTTTTTCAAATTCCATTCATACCATATAGCTTTGCACACCAAACCATCTTTTATTCATCTCAGGGATCAACCCCGATCACAATTTTACAACACACAAAAAAAAAAAAAAAAAAACAACCAACCAAAATCTAACACCCATACACAAAAGATTTGTTTTGTTTTCTGCAGACGGCCACCCACCGACCTCACTTCTTCGCCTCTTCCGCCGGTTTTTTCTTCTTGCCTCCGTCTTGGGCGGCCCTTGACGTGCTGCCTCTGTGTTTTTCCACGCCTGGAGCACGTTCACTCCCCCATACTCCTCCACTGCAGCATATGGCGGACCTCCAAATCGGAACATCACGGTGGCCTTCCGCTTCAGCTCCTTGTTTTCCGCCGTTAGCACACTTATCTCTGCTCGCGCATCCTTATACATCGCTGGAGCAGAGCCCAGTTGGGCGTTTAACTGCTGCACCTCATTTGTCCTACTCTGCAGCCGGTGCGACAAGTTTGTGACCGGTCATGGTTTTCCAACACATGACTTTCAAAGTATACTGATTGCCTCAATATCCGTTTGCCACTGCCATTTTTTGCTCCACCGACCGCATCGGAAAGTTCAACGGAGCAAAACCAGAGGTGTTTGGTTGAGGTTCACGGGCACCGCACCAGTTATCTCTCTTGTGACTCGTTGAGGTGGGAAAGAGAGTGAGCAGACTACGGAAGAAATGCCATTTTCTGGGCAACAGAGTGTTACAGAGTATCTCTCTCAGAAAACGAATATCTCTCTCAGAACACGAAGAGTTTTTCAGAGGTTTTTAGCAGTTTTTTTTGCCTTAGCCTCAGCCTCAGCCTCAGCCTCCGTCTTGTTAAATAGCCAAGGCAGAACACGCGTATCGTGCGCCGCTCGGCGCTAGCCGACAACATGGGCGCGCAAGCCAAGGTAGTCACGCGCACGCGCATAATGTCTGGCACACCTTTTTATGGATTGGGCACGCCTTTTGATGACACGCCTTTTGAAAGATTGGGCACACCTTTTGAGGGTGCGACTTTTTAGGGGTCGACAAGGACTCTGTAAACTGTCCCGACATTGATTCCGGTTAGTTTCTACAAGGGTCCAGCAAGACTCCGTAAACTGTCACAACAACTGTCACAACATTGTCTGCTACACCGGTCCGACATGACCCCATAAACTGTCTTCTACATCGGTCTGCCATAACCATACAGTCTTCTACAACGGTCTGACACGACCATATAGTGTCTCCTATCCATTTTTTATTTTATTTGTCAGATTATTTTCCTGTTTTGTTACTCTCTCCAAACTCAAGTTGGTTAGTGCCTATCCTCCTTGAGTTTGAGGGGGGCTGTTAGTATATATTAGTATATATATTAGCTGTCAAACCTTTAATAATATACCTTTAATGATTTGGTTTGTGTTTCTACTTTCGGTTTGTAATTGTTCTCCCTCTCCTCTATAAAGGAGAGAGCTCAACACAATCAATAATACATCAATAGATACATTATTCTCTCTGTATTTCTCTCTTTTACATTGAATTTAACACTCTTCTAAGCTATATGCCACTGTTAGTATTATTAAAACGTTAGATAAGTAATCGAACAATATCTGAAAACTAGTATATGAGCGTGTTGTGTTCTACTTTTTTTTAGGATTTTCCATGCTGACATATATCTTCATGTCCTGTTTTACTTTTACAATTAATGAGATATTTGGGTCACAAACTATTAATTTGACTATTCATATCATGTGTTTGCATCCCATTGTGGGCACCAACAACCAGGAGTATGCATGTTTGTGGGGCTTTTGTTGAGCACTTCAGTGATTGCTTAGGGGTCAGTAATTTTTTTTACTAACTGCTTTGAAATATTTTCCGACATTTTTTATAATTGCCTAGGTTGGAAAGCATATGTATGATGTTTCTCAAATATAGTATTCCCGGTGATAGGTGACACTTGTTGTATGGAATGTCTTTGTGTATTCTTGTGATGATTGCTAAATGATGATTTTTCTATTGGTGGCTTCTATGTTTACTATGAACAAAGGTACCAATGTCTAGTTAGTTAATTAACTGCTTGCCACATGTATTGAAGGAATTATCCTCTATTGATGGCTACATGGAAAGTTGCTCCTGCCCTGGCTGCTGGGTGTGCTGCAATCCTCAAGCCATCTGAGTTGGCATCGGTGTATGTTCTTATTAGTTAATATTTATTTGTTTATATTTTTTTTATTATTCTTTGGCATATGCTTATTACTATACATTCCATTCAGTACCTGTTTGGAGTTGGCTGAAGTGTGTAGGGAGGTGGGTCTTCCTCCAGGTGTCCTGAACATTCTAACTGGATTGGGCCCAGAAGCTGGTGCTCCTTTGTCATCTCATCCTCATGTTGATAAGGTTCAGTTTTTACTTTTGGGATTGGAATTCGTATGCAGCTAAATATATATATTCCCTCTGCTCACAAAGATTGTCTTCCTAGAATAAAAATTTCTGAAGTATACATTTATCAAAAAAAAAATAAAATCTGAAGTATACACTTTTAACGTGTTAAACACTAACATTTTTAACCTTCTCTTCCAAGATTACCCTCTAGCTAATGCTTGAAAACTATCCCTTCTATACATTTAATTCATGTTGTACTAGCATTTAAGGTGTGAAATTGTAAGTGTCCAATGCTTTTGACTTTTCAAAGTGGACACATGCTGGAACAGTACGAAAAGATATGAACATGCTCTTTGTGAGACAGATGGGGTATATTACTATATTTATGCTGCATATTTTTGGACATATTGTGGTATCTGTGTTAGGTGTTATGTAAGCTGGATGCTTATCATGTTCTAACAGCGAAATTTTTGATTCCTAATAGATTGCATTTACTGGAAGTACTGCCACTGGGAGCAGGATCATGACTGCTGCAGCTCAAATTGTCAAGGTATGGTACAATAATGTCATCCCGTTAACATGTTCATCATCAACTTATGTTCTTGCTTTTCTCACTCCATTCTATTACCTTGTTTACTTGGCAGCCAGTCACACTTGAGCTTGGTGGAAAGAGTCCCATTCTTGTGTTTGAGGATGTTGACCTTGATAAGGGTTAGTGCTTCCCAAGTTTGAGCACTCATTTTAATTCTTGTGCACTATACACTTTTAACTTCATGATTGTACTTCTTTGAGGTTACGAAGCAAATTGTGTTTAAAAAAAAAAAAAAAAAAAACAGCCTTGTGGGAAAACAATCAGAAGTCATTCTAGGCATATATATCACTATTTACTCTTGTGCTCTTGTCTGTCATCCAAACAGCTGCTGAATGGGCTATGTTTGGTTGCTTTTGGACAAATGGTCAGATCTGCAGTGCAACCTCTCGACTTCTAGTGCATGTAAGTACAAGTTGTAGATACAAAATATGTCTTGCATTTATGTTCATTACAAATACCGCCCCTCTTTCCCACAACGCCCTTGGGCTTACATCAACTTTTGCTCCACAGGTCTCTCATTTCATTGTGGATGAATGACACATACTTGTAATTTTGTGGCAATTTTGCATGTGTGTAGTTTGTATTCTTCTATTATCCTAGCGTTAGCAAGTCTTCTACCCCTAGTAAGGTCCAGCATCTCTCTTATCACATGCTAATAAAAAAATCTATACTATCTATACTATTATATAGAGCAAGGGCTGGAGTTGGTGTCATGAAACCTTTGCTTTTTTGTATGCCAAGGGGAATTTTGCATTCCTAAGATACCCTTCACCATTTCTTAAAAATCCATCCATAATCCCATAACCAATGTGGAAGTTAATCCACAAAATAATAATTGTTAATAATTGCTGTTTGGATTTTTAAATTTTTATTTATTGACAGATTATAAAAATAAAATTCTATTTTATTTATCTATATAATACACAAATATTTATACAGCCCAAGCATTTGCATGGGTAGAAAACGCTAGTAAAAAAAAAAAACTCGTCTTTATCACATATGAAAGTCTCCAAACACATGAACCTCATTAGGAATGCAAATAGTGACACTGGAAGAGTTGGTTCTAAAATCAAAGGAACCGAGCCTCCATTAGTAGATTTTTTTCCTCCTTCCCAATTGAACAATAGAAGCTTTCCTAGGCATGAAGCCTTTGTTTCAGCCTGTTCGGAAAACTTATTTTGAGCGCCCATTCTAATCTCAGCAGAAACTTTCAAGTCTGATCATTCTGCAGGAAAAACCACCATCAGATGCCCTCATTAAAAGACTAAAGAAAAAAAAAATGAAAATATTGGATAATGGCGCCATTTTCACCTATCTCATTATCACTCTTTTTGAATGCATATGTACGTGTGTTCTTCCAATCACGGAATTTCTAGGTAATAATACTCATTGATTTGTCGGTAAGTTGTCAGAGTTATTTTAAGTTCTGAAGAGTATACAACATATGTTTCATGTCCCACTAGATTGTGTTTGGTATTTAATCTTTCCAATGTTAGTTCGGTTAAATAATTTTTGATTTAAGTATGAACACGTTTACATCTCTTAAAACTATTTCAGGAAAGCATTGCGATAGAATTTTTGGACAAGCTAGTGAAGTGGACCAAAAGCATTAAAATTGCAGACCCCATGGAAGAAGGTTGCAGGCTTGGCCCAGTTGTTAGTGCAGGACAGGCAAGAAACTGATTTAAATTCTGTTAACTTTTTTCTTCAAAAATTTAAAACAGCAGAAACTGTTCGGCAGTTGTGAATTGTGATGTAGTTCAACAAACTAGAATTCAGGAGTGTTCTTTGCCTTGCTTGGAATGTTTTATGATTATGAGAATGAGTGATAACTTGAACAAGTAAAAACTCACTCGGTTCATTTGGGCCTGTCAGTGGATAGGATATTTATCAAATCACAACAAAATTTTAATTCTTTGTTTCTCTAACAAGCATAAATTGCTTGCTAATAAAAAAAATTAGCATAAATTGCTCAATCTGAGAAATTTCTATTAGTATTAAATCTAGTTTAGAAATAACCCCTTTTCATGTAGTTGGAAATCCAGCACCCTTTTAATATTTTTTATAAAGCAGTCACAAGCTATGATTTGTGCTTCTTTCTCTATCCTATTGTCATTTCCAATTAGATAAATTAGCTCACAAATGTGTATGTCCTTTAATGAATCTCTACTTTATGCTTATTCATGATAATTAATTAATGTTATACTCTTTTTCTAATCATAATTTGGAGAAAGAACAAAGGTATCAGACATGTTATGAACTTCACTGGGAGCACCCTTGGTAGAATTTTTTTAGTGTGTAAATACCAAGAAATGAAGAAGAGTATCTTAATGTTCATTTAGCTTTAGGGCTTAGGCTTTGAGTGCTTGATAAAGGAAGCTGTTTTCTTGCCTAGGGGCATGATAGAAGGGTTTAGAGAGAAGGTAATACTTTCTATCCTACTTGTTAACCTAGGGACTGCTGTAGATATTTGTGCATATATTTTTTGTGGAACTTGGCATTCATGATGTTACAAAAGAATGTTGCACTGCTGGTTATACATTCAATAGAGTACCTATGTTAACAGCATCTTGAATGTATAGTTTCATTTTTGCATTTAGATGAATAACTATCCAACATTTATGCTATGTGCTTTATAGTATGAGAAGGTAATGAAGTTCGTATCGACAGCTAGGAGTGAAGGTGCAACCATCTTGTGTGGTGGGGCTCGTCCTCAGGTAAAATCATATTTGTCCTAGGTCAGCACTGCTTTGTTTTAAGATAGGATAATCAACTTACCTCATGAACACATGGCAGCATTTGAAAAAGGGATACTTTGTTGAGCCAACCATTATAAGTGATGTAACAACCTCCATGCAAATTTGGAGGGAGGAAGTATTTGGACCTGTTCTCTGTGTTAAAACATTTAGCACTGAAGATGAAGCCATTGAACTGGCAAACGACAGCCAGTGAGTGGACTCTACTGAGAATTTTCCTTGCCTGATATGATTCCAGTGAGTTGGCTCTGTTTCTGACATTTGCTATTGATGTTTCACAGTTATGGGCTAGGTGCTGCGGTGATATCAAAAGATTTGGGAAGGTGTGAGCGGGTGACGAAGGTGAGACTCGTTTTGTACTTGGGTAGAAAACAATAACTCAATCTTGAATAGGCTTGAAAATGGCAAACAGGATGAGATCGACTACTTTTTGTTATTGTTAAATTGTGTTTCATTTGTTTTGATAATTCACAGGCTCTTGAGGCTGGCATTGTCTGGGTCAACTGCTCACAGCCATGCTTTTGTCAAGCTCCATGGGGAGGCAACAAACGCAGTGGTTTTGGGCGTGAATTGGGCGAATGGTAATGTGAAGTGTCCTCTTTTTAATTTTGTTTCAAACACACTATTAAAGTGTCAAAATTTAAATATAATATTGGGTGTGAACAAGGGGGCACCATAAGGTCCCAAGTTCTTTGAAGAAGGTGTCTCCTCCAGTGTACAATGTATAATCTTTTTCATGTGTAGAAAGTGTCAATTTTTTGTTAAAAAACAGGCATATTTTTCGAACAAAGTAAAGGAAAATGTTTGTAGAATAAAAAACATGAAGAGGGGTAAAATCTAATCCTAAGAAGCATGGACATGGACACGAATACGGGACATAGCAGAAAAAGATATTTTATGTATATTTTTATTTATTATGTAAATATAAATATAAATTTAGGATACAAGGCATTGAGGTATATATCGGTGTTTTTTTTTAATTATTTACTTTTTCCCTCTTTATTCGTCATATATTTTACTTTTAAATTCAACTTAGTTTTCTTAAATTATTATTATTATTTTTAAAAAAACTACGAAGATATCCTGATGCATGTCCAAACATAGGACACGTGTGTCCATCAAGTGTCCTCAAAATGTCCAACAAAAAATTAAAAATTAAAAATTTGACACGTGGACACATGTGTCCCCACTATGTCGGTATTCCCTCTATGTCTGACATGGCACCCATCTTGGAGTTTTGGTTCTGCTTAGATCCCATCATTATGTTCTTTGTAATGTCTGTTGAACTGGTGCATCGGGATGGATATGCCAGATTAGCAAGTATCTAGGGTCAAATAGACATATTAACATTTCATGCTATCGCTTTGCAGGGGACTCGATAACTACTTGAGTGTGAAGCAGGTCACGCAGTACATCTCTGATGAACCGTGGGGGTGGTACCCATCTCCTTCAAAGCCAAAGCTTTAAACGCTTCCTTCAGAAGCAGAAAGTGTTGGAAGTTCGCCATTGTACCACATTACTGGAAGAAAACAGGTCCAGAACCTCTGTAAGCTGTCGAGAACTCAATCTAGAAGAAACTTTGAGATTTTTACAAATCGGCAATGCTAGTTTGATTCTTATACAGTTGGTTAATCCCAGGGTAATGGATCTACCAAGTATAGGTGGACAGTAGAAAGTTTGATCTTCCGCCATGACACAATATGTTATATTTTTCTTTTGAGAGTTGAACTTTGTTTGAGTACTAAAAATGGAAGAATGTTATGTGGCTCTTGAACCGGTTGAACTTGTTTCATGGTGACTTAGGCTTAATGGGATCAAAAAACAGAAATAATCTCCCTATATGTAGGAGGATAAAGATCCATACATCTTACCCATTTCAGACCCTGCAGTGTACAATTTCTCTGTATGTAGTAGCAGGAGTCTCTTGCATGGATTTGAGCTTTTTGTATTTCCTCCCTTTGTGTGTGTGTGTGTGTGTGTGTCTCGGTGACCTTCAACTTGCTTGAATTAGTGGATTTGGGTTTTGGCTTCTAAACCTGAATAACTTTAGATAGATAACCTATGTTAATTATGTTTGCGAGTTTTCTGTTCTTACCCTACGAAACTTAGTTTCTTGTAAATTTGGAAATGTATCAATGTGATCTTAGTGACGTGTTTGGCTGACAAGTTCCATTCCAACAATTTTGAAAGCTTTGTCTACAAGAACTAAGTGGAGGTGCCGTGGAGTGACAATTTGGAGGTGCCTTGGAGCAATTTTCATATAACAGAAAGGATATAAATGGCAAGTTAACTTATAGAGAATGATCATATTTTCTTAGTTAATGATTAAAACTTAGGTTGGGAAAAGATGGGTGGCAGTTACAAATACATCTTTTGAAGGTTTGACAGAAGCAGAGGGTGGTGTGCCAACTCTTTTTAAATAATTAGGTTTGTGTCTTTGTCCCAACCCCTTCTAATGATTTCCTAGTCAAGTTAATTACACTTATTATTGATAGAATGAAGTAAACTTGGTCCACCTGGTTGTATAATTGAGTTTTAATCAGAACGACATATATACTGGTATGATATTATGCATGATGACCAAGTATTTGAACCCATTTGCTAGCATAGAAAGATTCAGCTACATGATTTCGATCCAACACTCAAAGTGACCAATCAAGTACTTTAAATGCCAACAATGAGGTCTGAAAGTGTATCCATAAAAGCTTCCTCAAGAGTTTTAAAATGGTATAAATTTGGTTTTTAATTTTTTAAAAATAGTTTGAGTTCTTAAATTTTTTATTTTTCATATTTGGTTATCTTTATATTTTTTTAATATTTTAATCAATTTTGTTAGATGTACTTAATTTAAAATACTTAAAAAGTGAAAAAATTTAAAAAGAATCCAACAAATATAATTAAAAAAAAAATACAAAAAATGTTTTTTTTTTTTTCATTTTTACCCAATTGTCACTAGACCAGTGTCAGAAAAGTTGCCTGAGGTGGCCAACATCAACAATTGGTGGTAGTGGAGATAATGGACAGATAGGCAAATTAAGTCGACAGATAGGTGACGCATGAACAGATAATGAATGACATGTTGACAGACAAGTGGATGGTGGATAAATAGACAAATAACTAAGGATAATATAATCTTTCAAATTATTTTATTTTTTTACCCTAAAATAATAATAGTAGTGCTACATCCACACAATCTCTTTCTCTCCCATAATCTCCCTAACGATGTGGCAAGATAAAATGTATGTAAGGAGAGTTTTGAGGGAATATTTGAATTTGGATAAACTTTTCAATTTTGCTTGTCATGTCATTTGGGGGGAGTGAGAGGGAAAGAAATTGTGTAGGTGAATCATTTTTCAAATAATAAAACTTATTACTCGAAAAATTTTAAAGGCAAATACTAACAATTTTTCCTTATGCATTGTTTAATATTAGGAAGTGTGTAATCAACATGTCATTCCCTCCCCAACCACCAATCCTCCTTAACTCTTCCCTTCATCGCACACTGTTTCCAACACCTTTCCGCTACCACTCTGCGCCATCTCTATTCCGCTGCTAGTCTATAACTGTCCTTCGCAGCCCATCATTCTATCACTGTTGTCATCGATCTCTCCAGTCTCGTTGCCCTTTTCCAATCCTTTCCCAACCTGGCTCTCCACCACCATTCCCTTTTCAATCATTATTATAGTCAGTCATAACTACTCCACCACCGTAACGTGACACCTTCGTAATCCTCTCGCCCCTACAACTTCACCACACATACACACACACACACACACACACACACACACACAGTGTGTGATTTGAAAAAGAAGAAAAGTTGATTGGTGGTTGCGGCTGTTGTCGCCATCGTAAATCTAGATATGATATCCCAACTTGAACCCTAGATCAACGGAACAAAAAAAAAATAAAAAAAATAAAAATAATAATAATAATAATAAGAGGAGAAGGAATAAATAGAAGAATAATAAATGGATGCTGGAAAAGGGGTAGCGACAACGCGATGGCTGTGGTCGATGGTGACGGTGATGGTTGCGGATGTGCCAGTGGTGGTGGCTGGTGTGGTGTGTGAATTGAGAGATTGAGTTTTTGGATAATGTCTAAAAGAGTAATTTAGTTGAGGGATACAATAGAAATTAAAAAAAAAAATTATCAAATAGTGTGCATTGAAAGAAACAATGTGTGTAAATAGAATTATCCGTGCAGTTTACTCTCTTAATGTTTGGAAATGATTATAGAATCCCACGTGGTTTGTGGATTGAAATGCACTATTAGACATTCCGTCCAACTTAATAGTAAATGTAAAACACGTGATACACATAAGGGGATTATATACTCATTTTCAAATTTCAATAGAGTAGTTTTGCATGACAAACCAATCTGAAACTCTTGAGACCCATGAGCCCGTTGGTCTAGCTGCTGGATCTGCGATCCCACTCTTCGAAGCAGTCCTTGGGGGCCAATCATCAATCCTAGTCCCATGTCTTGCACTGAATCCATGCTTCCTTTCAGACTGGTTGTCTACCCTATAATAATTGGGTGGCCTAGTTTTATACAGAGGTCTCTTACCCTTTAATTGTATCCTGGTGTCTGGTGGACTAGCCAAAGATGAATATTGTCTAGGACCAGTTGGATATGACCTCCTGTTGTAGGTGCTAGCTAGTTTTCGATCCTTTTGTACATCTTTATAATATTGTTTTCTATCAACTGGAAGTCCTTTCAGTCATTTGTAACTCATCCTGCATTTGGGACACATCCTCTGCCCTACAGCTGCCTCATGGGAGTCATTATCCAGTATCTCTTCACTAGAGCCATTCCTTTGGCCTGCAGAGTTTTGTCCACTTGCTAGTGAACTTTTGGTGTCCTTCTTAAAGGCAACCTGGCTAGCCATATGCATTTGCACAGTGACTTCCTTCAATTCCTTCAAGGATAGGTTTTGGAAATCTGGCATACCAACATTGGTCGCAACTTCCCCAACCTCTGGAAACGAGTTGGTGTCAATTTCCATAACTTTCTCAGTCTTGGCTAGAAACTTTAGCCTCCCTTTCTGAATCTGTTCTTGGATCCTATCTCGAAAAACAATACAGCTTTTAGTTGAATGAGATCAAGAATTGTGTCATTTACAATACAGTTTTCCTTTAAGTTCTTCAGGGGTAGGGATTTTAACTCCCTTTGGTAACTTCAGGAAATTTACTGCAAGCAAATGATCAAAAATGTCATCTGCTTTTGTTAAATCAAAGAATACTTCCTATGAAGGTCTTTCTTTTTAAACTGTTGGTCTATTGTTCTGTCTTTCTGTATTAATGCTTCACATGTCATAGGTTATTTTTCTATGATCTCTGTTGTATCAATTTCATAGCTAGGGTCTCTATAGTAGGTCTTATATGATGCATTACTTCGACCTTGTCGCTCCTCAAGTAAAGTTTCATATCTGGACATTTTATAGGTTAATTCTACTAAGTCTCGAAATTCAGTTGAATCAGACTTCTTTCGAAGCCTAAACTCCAACCCATTTTGAGCCAATCTCATCAATTCAGGCTTGAGTAACATGACCGTACATTTGTTTCGTGCCCTTTTAAATCTGGCAATAAACTGAGTAGCCTTCTCATCAAGTCTTTGGCTCAATCTTGCCAAGTCTGCCATGGAAACCTCAAGTTCTTTTTGGAAAAATTGAGCATGAAAAACCTTTTCCATTTGTTGCTAAGTTTGGATAGAACCAGGTGTAAGGTTTATATACCATATGAAGGCTGCTCCAGTTAAAGAGTTTGGAAAAAGTCTCAGTTTCATGTAGTCATTATTGGCAAACTCACCACACTGGTTTGTAAACCTAGCAATGTGTTCCACCGTTGACTGGTTTTCATTCCCATAAAATAGGGCAAAATCTGGTATTCTAAATCCCCTTGGATACTTATGTACCCTATCCACCCACTCTGGGTAAGGTTTTCTGTACACTGGTGTTTGGACCCCCCAACCATAGGTCCACAGATTTCTCTAACTATATCAGCAATTTGGTCCCTTGAAACCATATTTTGTGCTAGTTGAACCACTACTGGAGGAACAAACGCAGAGTTTGGAGGAACTCTATGTGCTTGAAGGCCTCTTGGTCTATATATAGGTGCATTCAAGACTGGCTGTCCTTGTTGTACTGGTAGCTGTTGGAGGTATGGCTAACCTCTTGGAATCTGTCTTGGGAAAGGCCCTACGAAAGGTACTACAGGAGGAGGAATAGGTGTTGTTTCTTTTCCAACAGTAGGAAATCCTTCTAACACCTCAGGTGCATATTCAAACACAGGAGTAGTGAAACCCCGTGTGCCAGGTATAGCTTTGAACATAGGATTTGGAAACATCCTCATACCATTCCCTCGTGTTGGCCTAGATCCACCAAATTTGTATGATTTTGCTGGTGGGCAATGGTACATTTTGGTTTGCTAGTGGTCTCAAAGGAGCTTCATACCATGACTGAGGCATAGGTGACATTCTCTCATGGTTTTGATTACTAGTCTGATCATTAGTTTGTCCGTTATTTTGCACAGGCTATTTGTCTCGAGCCAATCTATGCTGAAGGGAATTCTCATTCTCTTCAGCTTGTCTTACAACAGTTGGTTTATAAGAGTTCATTCGATCCAAAAAGGATGTTGCCCATCTTTCCATTGTATACATTAATTGTTGTCCTATAGCATCTATTAAACCTCCCAATGGATTTATTGGTTTGGTAGAAGGGATAGTTGAAGGTCCAGTTTCATGACCCTGTCTAGTATGTTGGACATGCGTTGTATATTCCAAAATGCTGGTCTGTTCGACCATTTGCGGAGGATTTGGTGGGATAGGTGCATCCATTACATTATCCTCTGAGTTAGGTATTTCTACTTCTCCTTCCACACCCTCTTCCAAACGTTCATTTTCTCCTTTTGCTCTACGTCTAGCCATTTTTAAAGTCCCACTGGGCATGCCAAAAA